TGATGCTTCTATATTGGAGCGGAGTCTTGAGGTGGGTAGAATATAGTTGTGCAATAATTGGCTGTTGATTGCTGGTGTTGACTTCTTGATGTGTAGTGCCTCGCAAACGTCAAGCCGCCTGCTATCGCTGTATCTATCGATGATTTCTGTGTTGTTTACTAGGATTTCTCTGGCGATGGTTTGGTTATGGGAAGAGATTATATGTTCCTTAATGGAGCCCTGTTGTTTATGCATCGTTAAACGCCTAGAAAGAGATGTTGTTGTCTTGCCTATATACTGGGTTTTTTGGAGCTTACAGTCCCCAAGTGGGCATTTGAAGGCATAGACGACGTTAGTCTCTTTTAAAGCGTTCTGTTTTGTGTCTGGAGAGTTTCTCATGAGTAGGCTGGCCGTTTTTCTGGTTTTATAGTAAATCGTCAGTTGTATCCTCTGATTTTTGTCTGTAGGGATAACGTTTCTATTAACAATATCTTTCAGGACCCTTTCCTCTGTTTTATGAGCTGTGGAAAAGAAGTTCCTGTAAAATAGTCTAATAGGGGGTATAGGTGTTGTGTTAGTTGTCTCTTCGGAGGTTGCATGGCTTTTCACTTTCCTTCTTATGATGTCTTCGATGAAACCATTGGAGAAGCCGTTATTGACTAGGACCTGCCTTACCCTACAGAGTTCTTCGTCGACTTGCTTCCATTCTGAGCTGTGGCTGAGAGCACGGTCGACGTATGCGTTAACAACACTCCTCTTGTACCTGTCAGGGCAGTCGCTGTTGGCATTTAGGCACATTCCTATGTTTGTTTCCTTTGTGTAGACTGCAGTGTGGAAACCTCCGCCCTTTTCCATGACTGTTACATCTAGAAAAGGCAGCTTCCCATCCTTTTCCGTCTCGTAAGTGAAACGCAGCACGGAACTCTGCTCAAATGCCTCCTTCAGCTCCTGCAGATGTCTGACATCAGGTACCTGTGTAAAAATGTCGTCAACATACCTGCAGTATATGGCCGGTTTCAAGTTCATGTCGACTAAGACTTTTTGCTCGATGGTACCCATGTAGAAGTTTGCAAACAGGACACCTAGGGGAGAACCCATGGCGACCCCATCTACTTGCTTATACATGTGCCCATCCGGGCTCAAGAAGGGTGCCTCTTTAGTACAAGCTTGGAGTAGTTTCCTCAGAATACTTTCTGGCATGTCAAGAGGAGTACAGGCTGGATCACGATACACTCTGTCGGCTATCATTCCGATTGTCTCGTCCACAGGTACGGTCATACTCTCTGACCAAACTAAGTTCCAAAGGGTAACGAAGGACACTACAGCCGAATTAAAAGCAAAGGTCAACAAACTGATCGAAACTGTGAACGCCAAGAAATCCGGACTCCACCTGCCAAAGATCATTGGGGAATATAAACCTGGATATGCGTATGGAAATGTCAAGACGCACAAGCCTGGAAACCCACTTCGGCCAATCATTAGCCAGATACCCACACCCACGTACAGACTGGCGAAGCGACTCAACGGCCTGCTGACTCCTTATGTTCCTTGCGCCTTCAGCCTGAAGTCTCCAAAGGAATTTGTGGACTTACTGCGGGGCGCACGGGCCACAGGGATAAGAGCCTCGTTGGACGTAGAATCGCTGTTTACCAACGTACCTGTGGACGAGACAATCGGAATGATAGCCGACAGAGTGTATCGTGATCCAGCCTGTACTCCTCTTGACATGCCAGAAAGTATTCTGAGGAAACTACTCCAAGCTTGTACTAAAGAGGCACCCTTCTTGAGCCCGGATGGGCACATGTATAAGCAAGTAGATGGGGTCGCCATGGGTTCTCCCCTAGGTGTCCTGTTACATATGAAAAAGTCAACACCAGCAATCAACAGCTAATTAATGCACAACTATATTCTACCCACTTCAAGACTCCAAACCAATATAGAAGCAGCAGGAGGATGTATGGGCCAATAGCCCCTCTGCAGTTACTTCCATTCTTATGCTCTCATATCCAATTAATACTCACAGATTCGTGTTCTGTCTTGTATTTGTCACAAGTTTGTTCACCTCATCTAAAACTATTGCACCATATCACCTCAACCTAATGCGAGAATAAATATGACGGATTTGCTGACTCTGTTAAGTGTTTTCAGTTTACAATTGAGTGTGTAAACTAAAGTCTTCGAAAATGTAATAAGTTATTACGAAACGCGTTCAAACGTTGCGTCACACGAGAAATAAAAATGAATTTTGGAGAATTGATTTTTCAATTACCATCAGGAGTAAAAAGAAACATAAGAAATATTGAGAAAATTCGTGTTAGAATTATTAATCTTACTTTTTTCAGTCATATTAACAACATTATATATATATATATATATATATATATATATATATATATATATATATATATATATATATATATATATATATATATATATATATATATATATATATATATATATATATATATATATATATATATATATATATATATTGGTGTATACTGGCAGCAGGTTTTCTTTCAAACATGTTTCATTGAATATGACCGCATATTCTGTATTTATTATTTTCTGGTTTAGGGCTTCTATCCCTCTAACTATTTTCTTAGCATCAGGGCTTAATTGAAATAGGAGTTCTCCAAAACTCATTTTCGTACTTTTTAGGTGAAGAAAAGAAGTGATTTACTATAGAGTGTATTACACTTATTTGTATAATTTGCACGACGTTTCGAACCTCCATGGTTCATTTTCAAGTGAACAGATCTTACAATACTAGTTGATTTTATACCCGCATTAGGTCAGGTGATAATACAATGAAGGTGAAAACATGGGGGATACATAAGGGATAAACATAGGGGCTGCAGAAGGCTTATTGGCCCATACGAGGCATCTCCTATCTAAACACAAAGATTAATCCAGTGTAATTGGCCTGTTATGTTGGACATTGTCTTCTGTGTTGGCATCGATATGTTCTTGTCTTGTCCTTACTCTCATGGTGGGTAGAGTAAATAGTTCCGTGATTTGGGTGTTCATGGTAGGTCGCTCTATTCTTATGTGAATTTGGCAATTCACATAAGAATAGAGAAGAATTCACACAAATTTTTGCCAATTTTCTGAAACGAAACATCCCGGTTCAACCGCAGATAATTAATGGCTTACAGAGGTATCAGAATGACATTCGTTCTGTAGCACGTAAGAAAACTCCATTGTACAAAAAGAAGAATATTCTAACTTCTAGACGTGGCGGGGCAATATTGGCGGCTCTGCTACCTTTGGCTGTATCGTTAATTTCCTCTCTAATAAGGTAATTACGTAAATAAGTAACGAGAGAAAAATGGTGAAAGAATATTGTCTGGTACCACGAAAAAACAAGAACACACCATCCCCTCTTAATGTGGTGGGTCTGCCCTCCCCCAGCGGTGATGGTAGTGAAAGTAAGTCCTTCTCTTTAAAAAACGAAAGTAATTCAAGTAATAATGTTGGTGGTAGCTGTAACCAGCCCACCTGTGACTCTGGCGATGGTGATGAGGGAGTGGGGGAAGTGGACACTCCCCCCCTCACCCGACTCAACAGCTCGTGGGCGGTGTTGCCACGGCAGCTTCTGTGATCCTTATAACTCCTCCAAACGGGCGGGGCTGATCAGACAATCATTAAATGTCATTGAGCCTGCCGCCGACACCCGGGCGCCGCTCTTCAAAAAAAAAAAAGCGGCCCGGCCAGTGCGACCATCGTCTTTAAAAAAAAAAAAAAGGGAACATTCCATTCTACCAGCCGAAATGCGGCTAATTGTTGCTGGGCACACTCCTCATAAAGCCACCATCACGACCCAAAATCCAAGTCTGGACAACTTAATAAATGTGAATTTTAAAATTGAGGAAATTCCACATGTCAAAACATTATTGAACATGTTCGAGCAAAACAGCCAACAGGTGATATGGAATAGCCGTGGAAATTTATTAAAGCCTGTGCAAAATTTAAGTATTTTAGATATAATTAAAACTTAGTCTTTACTAAAGGACAATTTTGGGCAACTGACAAGGAGGATGTAAGGATTTTGCTGAAGGTGGCTGGCATAGACCCGACCTTCATACGTAATTATCGCGCCAGATCACAGTTAAAAGGGGGGAGGGGTATCCATAGGAGACCCCATTGGGAGCCGTATTGAAGACCTATATGAAGCACATCTTAAACGCCACCATATTCAGTTGTGTATCCGCCATGGAGCAAGCTTCTAGAGCCACTCCACCTGCAGAAGACAAATCTCCCCCATTAAAGAAGTTGGTTGCTACACAGCGGTACTACAAGTATGTCGAACACAAATGTAGATTGATATATGCATTGTGGGATTGTTATGACCGTCTTGTGTTGAGTGCCCCTCCAGAACGGGTTTTTAAGTCATTTGGAGAAACGGTGAAACGTTATGAAGAATATTCATCCCAGGAAATCCAGACGGAGATATGGGAAATGGAAAATTTAACCTTCCAACATCGAGACCAGATTACAGCCTTCGAGTCTGGGCAGAGTGTCTATGGGCTTTTAAGGTGAGGAAGGCGGCCTCTACCCCACACCCCTACATTCCTCTCCCTCCAAGTGGGGACACAGGTGTATTTAAAGGTCCCCCACCGTCGCTGCTGGTCACTATAGTTGTCCTCGACACGCTCCTCACAGCCGCCCTTCGCCATGTCATCATCCATCAAGACAATAAACGACGACATCACCGACACCCACGCCTTTGGGGTCAGTGATGTAATAGTCTATGACCTGCCCGCCGCCGTTGTGCATCCCTATGGACTGGCAAGTGTAATATGGAAGTCTTATAACTCTGGAACGTGTTGGTCTGACTAATGTCAACAGGACCACAATACGTTATCGGTCTACCCCAGGGGACATTGAAGTGAAGATAGCCCCTTACCCCTCCGACGGTCAAGATATTGTGGAAGAGCCAGTTCTCTTCTTCCGCCCCACCATAGTGGCGCTAATTTCTGCATTCGGTGCAGGAGCACCCTTCGAGTCCAACCCTATAGCTCAGGAGCAAGTACAGTCTTCTGCCGACACCCTCTACATCACCAATGTCACCCTGGATACTGCCAAAAACAGACTGTTTTGGCTCAAAACTGCCTTAACAAAAGTGGGCAATCTAATGGTGAGAACCCCCACCATGTTTCGACTGGTGGTGCCCCATGGCTTAGGGGCTTCCCGTGATGGTATGGACAACTGGCACAAGGACATCGAACTCATGCTGATCTCACATCATCACGAACTGAGCAAGCATAACAAAGAGCTTGTAATCCTCAAACGTCCCAATGCTGTTACCCCATCAATGGTACCCCTCCCAATCAATGATCCCAGAGGAGAGGGTGATAGTAAAACTATCACCCTAGACGCTGTGGTGGGGGAGGGTGCCACCACCCCAGGAAGCTCTTCTCGTTCTACACCACCACCTACCCCCAGGAAGAACAGACAACTACAAGAGTACTCATCCAGCTCCACCTCCACCCACAACATCTACCGCAGCCAAACGCCGGATCGAAACCACTATCGACTTCGACCCCCCACACAAATCATCGTATCGACACCATCCTCGATGGAGAGTCACAGGAAATATTCCTGTTATCCTCCCCACCGAAAAAACAACGAAAGCTGTAATCATCCTCCCAGAAAAGAAGAGGTGGCAGCACCACCACCAACAGTAACAGCAGCAGCGACGACAGCAGCAGCAGTACCGCCATCTACAGAAGCTCCAGCGGTGGTGACAGCGGTAGCAGCAGCAGCAGCACCAACAACGGTGGCAGTGGCGTCAGCGGTACCAACAGCTCCAGCAGCGGTGGCAGCAGCAGCAGCAGCAGCGGCAGCAGCACCAACAGCAGCTGTTCTATATATGTAATTTGTTGTGGGAATAATTCCCCTGTTGTAGTTCTTTAAAACAAATATTTCCTTTGTAGTTTAATAAAATAAAATATAAGTAATGATGTTTTATTTCCCCATCATACAAAAACCCCTCTCCCATATATCCCCCAATCAGTACGTAAGTGAACAATGGCCGAGGAACATTACATATATCTTACTAGTCTCGACCAAGAAGATATATACAACAACACAAGCTCAGCATTTACAAACACCATCCCCACTCTACATTTAAACCCTTCCATTAAACATGAAGTGGTTTTAGTCAACATACTCCTACCCAGGCGAATTAATGCTATCATCAAGGATGAGGGGGAGTCTGGCATAGATGTCTATGCTACTTTTGAATGTGGAACTCTTTCTAAAAGCCCAGAACACCTTATTTACACCTTCCTCCCCTAAACCAACATATTATCCAGAAACATCACATTTATCATGGGTGAGCTTAGCCGGCAAATAATCACCAACATGACACTAAGTTTCAGGAGTGATTCTAAAATATACTTCACAGAAAGAGAACCAATCCTCACCTATGACCAATCTTTAGAACGGGTATTACTAGCTTCAACTCTTAACAATGAAGGTACTGGCTCGTTATATTCTCTCAGCCTTCAATTTAAACACGGAATAGCTAATGTACTTGGTTTTGACAGCGGTCGCAAATACACCATTTATCGGGCAAAAACAGATGACATTACAACAGCCTCCAAGGTCGTGGCCTCATTCCCCCCAGACAATGACAGAGGTTGTGACTATTTACTCATTTATAGTGACGTCATCGAGCCGGAACGATACGGGGGGGGGGGGGGGCCAGATTGTAAATATCTTTGATGCAATCAATTATCATGACTCATATTCTAGAGGGGCTCATCCCCTAGTGTACAAGACATTAAATAATAACACGTTGGAGAAAGTAAGTATTAAAATAACAGATCAGTTTGGGCGAATGGTTAGTTTTGAAGATGGGAGGTCGGTTATGGCAGTCTTGCATATCCGCCCTAAAGTATAGCAATATAATCTATATAAATATAAATATATATAGAAGTGTTTACCCACGACTTCGGTTATTATAAGAAGAGGTGTCGGAATGTGTGTACCATTCCACCCACCTTCTCAGAAGGAATTCGGAGAGATCTTCTCTCCTCTCTCTAGGAGACATGGGATGAGAGGGGGAGCGATGAATGACATACGCACATTCCAAGCGCCTTATCTCAGATCTGGTGGTGGTTTTTTTGGAACCTTGGCTGGCTTGGCTCGACGGGCCATACCATTTTTCATGAAAGCTGTAACACCGAGTGCTATCGATTTTGGGAAAAATGTTCTTGGTGATTTAACCAGTGATAGACGGGATGTAAAGAGCGCTCTGAGAACTCACGGTATTGATGCTCTTAAGACTGTGGGGAAGAAATTGGTAATAGACGGGAAAATTAAAAGACTAGGAGAATAAAAAATAAAAATAAAAAATGTAAACGAGGTCTTGGGTATGAAAATGATGTATTTTCACTACAGTAAGAAGTCATACTTCACCTTTCGGAGGGGATCATGGCGGAGGCTAGTGGAGCTGGGGTGAAAATACCACTAGAATATTATAGCTCCAGTATTATTGACCAATTTCCTAGAAGTAACAGAATACGTAATGTGGAAAGTTCAATTGCCTCTACGCAGCAAATAGACATTCTACCTGTCAACCTCCCCATTAATCAACGTTTGCGGGATAGTTACTTAGAATTCCGCATCCCTGGAACCCAGGGCGCCTTCTTAGATCTAGCTAATATTGTTATAGATTTTAAGGTATCTTTAACGAAAGATAACGATACCACAAAATTGGAAGAGGATGACTATGTGGAATTTTTGAATGGATTGTCAAATACCATGTTTAAAGGTGTTCAGGTGTTTTTAGGAGAGCAGGTAGTTGAAACAAATTCTAATTTTAATTATTGGTCGTTTATTAAATTAATTACCTCCATGCCTCCATCTAAAATGTCTTCCTTGGGGAGAATTGGAGCCTTTCGTAGGGACTGGAGTGATGATGGTGTATTCCCTAACGAATTTACTAATACATTTTTTACTGGAGCAACTGCCAAGGATAAAAAATTTATGTCTGATTTAAAAGGTAAAGGTTTGTCAATGTGTTTTCCCCTAGTATTGGACGTAACAACCCTAGACCAATACATATTAGATAATATAGATGTGCGTCTAAGATTGGAGCTCTCCCCACATGCTTGGGTGCTAAATACAAGTGTGGTCGATGGCTCTAAGTATCGCTTGCATATGGATTATGCTAAGTTGTGGATAACACGGGTGTTCCCCTACCCAAGTGCCTACCTAGTCTTAAACAGCTCACTGTTAGCATCCCCTGACCCCATAAGCTATACTTTCAATATAACCATTTCTAAAACATATGTCCTAGCGGGGAATCAAACTAGTCTCTTAATTGATCAGCCTTGGGCGCAAGTAATTCCTCACAAGATATTCATGGTAATTGTACCAATGAATTATTTCGCTGGCCTTCACCAAGGTAATGGATTATATTTTGAAAATGCAAAGCTGAAAAATATTGCTATGTATTTGAACAATAATGCAATTTACCGAATTGGCGGTGATTTCGACAACCATTATTCCCGCCTTTATTACGAAACTTTGAAGACATTAGTGTTAGAGCGTGATTCACTACTAGGCTATGACACTTTTAATAAGGGGAGATCTATATTCACCTTTGACTTAACCACCATTCAAACAAAAGATTCCCTCGCTGTGGAGAAATCTGGCAACTTGCGTATGGAGCTTGAGTTTGGTAGTGGTGTTACATATAACAGACTGGTTTTACTGTATGGGGAAACGACCAGGGTACTATCGATCGACGGGCAGAAAACTGTTCTATCTGACGTGCGAGCTTAAAAACACAATGAATTGTTATGATATAAATATTAATTTAAAAAATAATCTAGGGGATCGAGTGCTCAATACATACTGCATTTTCCAGCGTTACTTTAAAATTAAATGATAAACGAATCCTCGCTTATGTGAGACGATATTTTCCTATGAAACATCATTGTGTTTGGATATTTTGTAGTGTAGCTAGGGGTTGGTTCTTATAGGAGGTGTAGAGAATATTTTTGTTAGCTAGGCAACCTACCTAACAAGGGGGATTACACCTATATAAAAACCCCTCTTACCCCACAACCTCCCCAGAAGACCTCCAACCTCCTCATCCTACAAATGGAAGGTGTCTCTCCAAAAACACCTACAGGGAAGATTGAAGTCCTTGAAGGGCCTGGTTAGTATTACCCTCACTTTCTGGTAAAGATTTATTTTTATTTTTTCCCCACAATAAAAAGTTTGTACATCCTCTATTTTACCTCTTTTTTCAGTACAATTCTTGGGATCCGTCCACATTTGTAGAGTAGTAATTCTACGTGGGGGGTCTGCCCCAAACAAGAAGCTGTTACGTAGCCTAATTGATGATGCCTGCTGTAGAGGACACAAGGTCGCTCCTGCAGGGGGAGAGGTATGTACTAGCTGTTCTTAGAGGAAATAGAATACTTTTCAAATAAAAGATATAATCCTATACAATCCTTTAATCACTATAAATTATTTCCCTCATCTCTTTCCAGAACACTTCTGATGCGGGGGAGAAAGAAACTCAACCAAAAGGCAACCACCCAACTCACCCCACACCCCTAAGAGAGGAGGGAGGGGGTCAAGACCTCCCCCCCACTCACCACAGATGGGGAGACGTCAGAATTCTACTCAGATGAGGATGGGGAGGTGGAGGGGAGTGAGGAATCCATAACTACAATTATTAACTATCATAATTAACTTCTTATACATCATTTGTGATTTTTACCTAATAAAGCATTAATAAATTCTTTGATTTTTTTAACCACTAGGGAGATTTATAATTTAATACTCCTTAAATACTCTTATATAAGACCCACACGACCCCACTGGGTGTGGAACTTTGTTACGGTAAAGTCAAGGTCATTAGGTGCGAGGAAGGGTACGGGCGACCACTCCTACTGAGAGGAACCTTTTTTACACCTACCCCATAGAGGAATGAGGGGGGCGTAACTGGCACTCACCTGTGTGTGTTTATTATACAAATAAATTTATTTTTACTTAAATATACTGTCATACTTTACTGTATAAATGAACATGATCATAGAGGTGCATAATAGATACCTATCTTCACTGTTTTTCGACTGCTCCCACTCACACCTCGGATGACCTAATATGGAGTGGCTCTATGTGGCACTCCGCTTCTAATTTTCTTATCTGATTGCCTTACATAGGTGGCTCTATGTGGCACCAAATTATCTACTCACATTCTATCCTTCCTTCATTTCTCAAAATGTCAATATTTCAAATGTTCCAAATGTGTAGCACATGATTTAAATTTTGAAATTAAATATATTCCTTACACATTTATTAATCGGCAATTTTGTTACATTACACAAACGACAAGGTTGAAGCCTCAGAGTAGAGAAGGCAGCCTTAGGAATAAAAACGAGAAAACTGTCAAGATTCTTAAAATCATTTTTCCCTAACTTCACAAGACAGCCAAATCAGGTATATTCCGAGAGGTGGGCGACTTGGAGAAGGTCGGACGCCTCATATACTTGCCATTGAGAGACTTCCCGAGGAGTGTCGACTCCCTGGTCAGATCCGGTCGCCACCTGCTGGTTGATGCCGACATCAACTTCAGGAGTCTGATGGCCCAAGACGTCTCGCGAACAGGTTATCTATTATTACCTGCTGCACATTCTCAACGTGATATATATCTATTCATTTATTATGAGTTTTTATTTATATATGGTTAGAGATATTGGAAAAAAATCATATGTAGCTAGTATGTGAATGACTGGACATGCTTGTCAAACATATTTAGATCAATTTAATTGTCTAAATCTCAAGCTATGGGGACAACGAATAGAAAATAGTTATTCCTGTCAACTGTATAACTGGAAAACCAAATTTCTTTAATACCTTTTCCTTCAGGTCGGTGTGACTTCTATCTCTCCAGAGAAAAATTTCTTGGCTTTCCCCTGGTCATGATAGTTAACAAGTACAGTCCTCTAGCGAGAGTGCTCTTCAAGAGGTAGGAAACATTTGTTGATAACAAGATCCAAAGAAAATGAGTCGCAATAACGTGGCTGAAGATAGGATGAACAAATCACACACCAGAAGATGGAGAAACGACGACGTTTCGGTCCATTCTGGACCATTAACAAGTCGTGGGTGAACCGAAACGTCGTCGTTTCTCCATCTTCTGATGTGTGATTTGGTCATCAAATTTCAAAGACATATATACATATATATATTTGATTGAATATGACTTCATTGCTGGCGTTGTTGATCATATAGTGTAAGTTCTCTATTCTACATTGATATTTGTGTCAGTATTAAGAATAATAATCATATTACCAAAATTTATGGTAAAGAAAAACTAGTAATTATTCAAGGATTCATTTTCTACAATGTTTCGTTCCCCTCTGGAACATCTTTAGGAAAAAAATTAAAGGATGATGAACAAGTTTTGGTTAAATATGCAAGTGAAAGAGTCGATGGAGTGTAGGGTGATGTGATGGGGCAATGAAACACAGACTAAAGGGGGATAGGGCCTATTAAAAAAAAGAGGAAGAGAGCAGGTTCAAACATAATTGTCTAAATTCAAATATAAAAAATTTAAATTTAAATCTAAATTTAAATCCCCTCTTGCTCTAAATGTCACAGTGAAAACTGAACTAAATAAAGTCCATCTTTGGCTAATTGCTAAAAAACTCACCCTTAATATTGACATACTTTCTATGTTTTGTTTGGTAATAAATCCTCAAATCAAATTAATCAAAGAATAAACAATATCAAAATCTATATAAATAAAATAGAAATGTTCGTTTGTGCATAATCGCTAATCTCCAAAAGTTGTTCACCAATTGCTTTGAAATTTTCACACAACGTTCCATTCGCATCTGAGCAGGTTTTTATATACATACTATATAGATGTCACGTTTGCGATGGTAAAAAAACATGCTTTTTCTGAAAAACTGTGTTTTAATGTGTTTTTCTTGTGAGGGAAATCTTTGAAACCTCTTAACCGATTGCTTTGATATTTTCACACAACATTGCATTCGAATAATTCGCGTCTTTTTATATATCTACTATATACATGCTTCACCTGTGACAGGAAAAAACATCCTTTTTTTTCAAACAGCGCCATCTGTTGGACGTAAGAGCAACACACATTATAATCTCCAAAAGTTCTTCACCGATTGCTTTGAAATTTTGACACAACGTTGCATTCGAATAGGCGTGTTTTTTTATATACCTACTATATAGATACCCTGCCTGTGACAGGTAAAAACGTTCTTTTTTAGAAAAACAGTGCCATCTGTTGCACGTAATTGGAACAAACGCTATACTAAATATGTTACGATTCCATTTCAATGTTTCTGATTCCATTGATAAATTGAATTTTCATAGATTTTCATATATTTTCATTTTGATTTAATTATTGTGTGTGAATTGAGTTGGAATTGAGCTGTGTTGTTTACAAATCATTTGGGAAGGCATTAGACGAGGGAGTGGGGAATTGTGAGGATGACGAGGGAATAGAAGTGAGAGATGGTGTGGAGGACAAGGGGACAAGGGTAATGATAATAATGACAAAGGGGAGGTTATGGTGGGGAAGGATGAAGGGATAGGGGAGTTTGGGATGGTGGGGATGAGGGGATGGGGAATGGATAATGGTGGGGAGGACAAGGGGACCAGAGAGAGTGGGGCATGTGGGAAGGAAGAGGGGATAGTGAGTGAGGAATGGTGGGGAGGATGAGGGGATGGGTGAGGAGGGGAATGGTGCCGAGGACTGGGGGACAGGGAAGGTTGCTGTGGCTCAGCAACACACATGCGTTGCTGAGCCACAGCAATGCATGTGTGTAAGCCATTACGCATATGCATAATGTGCTGTAAAATGTGCATAAGCCATTATGCGTTTCGTAATGACCTATTACATTTTCAAAGACTTAATTTACACACACAATTTATCGTAGTTATACACTATTGGGTGAGGTGATATGGTACAAAAGTTTTGGGTGAGGTGAACAAACTTGTGACAAACACAAGACAGAATACGAAACAATGGGTATAACTGGGATATGAGAACATAAGAATAGAAGTAACTGCAGAAGGCCTATTGGCCCATACTTCCTCTTGCTGCTTTCATATTGGTTTGGGGTCTTGAAGTGAGTAGAATATAGTTGTGCATTAATTGGCTGTTGATTGCTGATGTTAACTTTTTGATGTGTATTGCCTCGCTGATGTCGAGCCGCCTGCTATCGCTGTACCTATCGATGATTTCTGTGTTGTTTGTTAAGATTTCTCTGGTGATGATCTGGTTGTGAGAAAAGATTAAATGTTCCTTGATGGAGCCCTATTGTTTATGCATTGTTAATCGCCTGGAAAGAGACGTTGTTATCTAGCCTACATACTGAGTTTTGGGGGGCTAACAGTCCTCAAGTGGGCATTTTAAGGCATAAACGAAGTTGGTTTCTTTCAAAGCGTTCTGCTTGGTGTCTGGGGAGTTTTTCATGAATAGATTAGCAGTTTTTTTAGTTTTATAGAAAATTATCAGTTGCATTTTCTGATTTTTGTCTGTAGGGATAACGTTCCTATCCACAATATCTTTCAGGACCCTTTACTCCGTTTTATGAGCAGTCGAAAAGAAGTTCCTGTAAAACAGTCTAATAGAGGGTACAAGTATTGTGTTGTCTGACTCTTCAGAGGTTGCATGGCGCTTTACCTTTCTTTTTATGATATCTCAACAAAACCGTTAGAGAAACCGTTGTTGACCAGGACCTGCCTTGCCTTACACAGTTCTTCACTTGCTTCCTTCCTGAGCTGTGCCTGGGCAGTCACTATTGCCATTGAGGCATATTCCTATGTTTGTTTCCTTAGTGTAGACTGCAGTGTGGAAGCTTTCACTCCTTTCCGCGACTGTTACATCCAGAAAGGGCAGCTTCCCATTATTCTCTAAGTCGAAAGTAAACTCAACACAGAATTCTGCTCAAATGCCTCCTTCAGCTGCTGCAGACATCTGGCATCTGGTACCTTCATAAAAATGTCATCAACATACCTGCAATATATGGTGTGTTTCATAACTAAGACCCTCTGCTCGACGGTACCCATGTAGAATTCGCAAACAAAACACCTATTGGAGAACCCATATCGACCCCATCTACTTTTTTATACATATACCCATCGGGGATCAAGAAGGGTGCCTCGTTAGTGCAGGCTTGGAGTAGATTCTGTATGCTTTCTGGTTGTCAAGAGGAGTGCATGCCAGGTCACGATTCACTTTGTCCGCTGTCATCCCGATTATTTCATCCACAGGTACGTGTGTAAATAGTGACTCCACATCCAACGAGGCTCTTATCCCCTTGGGAGACTTCAGGCTGAAAGCACAAGATACATAAGGAGTCAGCAACCCATTGAGTTGCTTAGCCAGTCTGTATGTGGGTGTTGGTATCTGGCTGATGATTGGCCAAAGACGAGAAGTGCTTTCTGGCTACTAGGTACGACATATGTATATTATATATATATATATATATATATATATATATATATATATATATATATATATATATATATATATATATATATATATATATATATATATATATATATATATATATATATATATATATATATATATATGTTGTACTAAGTAGCCAGAATGCAGTACTCGGCCGAGTATGCAAGGCCTGATTTGCCTAATAAGCCAAGTTTTCCTGAATTTATATATTTTTCTATTTTTTCTCATATGAAATCATAAAGCTATCTATTTCATTATGTATGCATTAATTTGTTTGAATTTGAGTTAAAACTAACGTAAATATATGACCGAACCTAACCAACCCTACCTAACCTAACCTAACCTCTCTTTACCTAACCTCAACTAACTCAACATAGTCAATAATTTATTTTCTTTTCATAATATATTAATAATAATTCAAATAGTTGAGGTTAGGTTAAGAGAGGTTAGGTTAGGTTAGGTAGGGTTGGTTAGGTTCGGTCATTTATTTACGTTAGTTTTAACTCAAATTCAAACAAATTAATGCATACATAATGAAATAGATAGCTTTATGATTTCATATGAGAAAAAATAGAAAAATATATAAATTCAGGAAAACTTGGCTTATTAGGCAAATCAGGCCTTGCATACTCGGCCGAGTACTGCATTCTGGCTACTTAGTACAACATATATATATATATATATATATATATATATATATATATATATATATATATATATATATATATATATATATATATATATATATATATATATATTATATATATATATATTCTAGCTGTACCCGGCCATGCATTGCCGAGCAACAACAACCTTTCCCCGTCTCCCAGCCCTCCCAACGATTTCCCCCTCCCCCCTGTCCACTCGTCCTCCCTACCATTCCTCACTCCCCCATCCCCTCGTCCTCCTCACCATTCACCCCCTTCACTGTCCCTATGTCCTCCTCACTATCCTACACTCTAGCATCTTCTCGTCCTCCTAACCATTCCCCACCCCACCTAACTATCCCCTCATCCTTACCACCATTAACTCCTCCCCTGTCCCCTCATCCTACCCACCATCCCTCACTCCTGTTTCCCTCATCATCCCCACCATTCCCCACTCCCTCGTCCGATGCATTCCCAAATGATCTGATGTTCCAATCACTGAAAAAAACTGTTAAAAACGAAATAAAAAAGGAAAATTATAAACTATACCCGCAAAATGAATGGTGTGGTAAACAACACAGCTCAATTCCAATGCAATGTTACACCAAATAATTAAACAAAAAATAAATAAATACAAATCTATGAAAATTAAATTTATCAATGCGATCGAAATCATTGAAATGGAATCGTAACATTTATTATAGCATGTGTTGCTCCTACGTGCATCAGATAACACAGATAAAAAAAAAGACATGTTTTTACCTGTCACAGGTGTGGCAGCTACATCGTAGAAGTATAAATACACGCTCGTATTCGAATGGAACGTTGTGTCAAAATTTCAAAGTAATCGATGAAGAACTTTTGGAGATTAGCGATTTTGAACAAATGAACATTTCCATTTTATTTATATATATATATAAATATATATATATAGTAGTATATATATATTAGTATATTTTGATAGCAGTCTTTCTTGTAAACATATGTTGTTGAATATGGCCGAAAGAATTAATTAATGATTCTAACACGAATCTTCTCAATATTTCTTATGTTTTCCTTCACTGTCGAGAGTAATTGAAAAATTAACTCTCCAAAGTTGATTTTCACATTTTATTTCTGGTCTGATGCCTAGAAGAATTTTGCAACAGACTTCTTACATTTTCAAAGACAATTTACATACTCTGTTTCATGCTTATATTCGTTTTTGGGTGAGGTGATTTGACACAAATGTTTTTGGATGAGGTGTCAACACGAATCAATGGGTAAAGGCAATTTTACATACTCAGAACATGAATCAATGGGTACATTGCGTATTTTCTCTTCTTGCCTCTGTGTTGGTTTGGGGTCTTGAAGTGGGTAGAATGTAATTGTGTGTTAAATGGTTGTTGATTGCTGGTGTTGACGTTTTCGTTTGTAGGGCCTCGCTGATGTCGAGTCTCCTGTTGTCGCTGTATCTATCGATAATTTCTGTGTTGTTTGTTAAGATTTCTCTGGTGATGGTCTGGTTGTGTGATTAGAATATATGCTCCTTGATGGAGCCCTGTTTTTGGTGCATTGTTAATCGCTTAGAAGAGACGTTGTTGTCTTGCCTATATACTGAGATCTTTGGGGCTGACAGTCCCCAAGTGGACATGTGAAGGCATAAACGATCTTGGTTTCTGTCAAGGAGTTCTGTTTGGTGTCTGGAAAGTTCTTCATAAGTAGGTTGGCCGTTTTCTTCTTTTTGTAGTAAATTGTCAATTATACCTTCTGATTTTTGTCTGTAGGGATAACGTTCCTATTAATAATAACTTTCAGGACACTTTCGTTCATTTTATGAGCCGTCGAAAAGAAGTTTCTGAAAAACAGTCTGATAGGGGGAATAAATGTTGCGTTATTTGACTCTTCAGAGGTTACATGGCCTTTCACCGTTCTTCTAATGACGTCTTCAACATAACCGTTAGAGAAACCGTTGTTGACTAAGACCTGCCTTACCCTACAGAGTTCTTCGTCGACCTGCTTCCAACCAGAGCTGTGAGAGCCCCGTCAACGTAACGGTTGACAAATTTACACTCCGCTTGTACCTGACTGGGCAGTCATTATTGGCATTGAGGCACATTCCTATGTTCGTTTCCTTAGTGTTTACTGTAGTATGGAAGCCACCATTCCTTTCCGTGACTGTTACATCTAGAAAGGGCAGCTTACTATTACTCTCTTTATCTCATAAGTGAAACATAAAATCAAAGTTTGCTCGAATGCCTCCTTCAGCTGCTGCAAACGTCTGACATCAGGTAACTGCATAACAATGCCATCAACATACCTGCAGTATATGGCAGGTTTCAAGTCCATGTTATCTAAGACACTCTTCTCGATTATACCCATGTAGAAGTTCGCAAACTGGACACCTGGCGAAGAACCCATGGCAACCCTATCTACTTGTTTATACATGTGCCCATTTGGACTGAAAAAGGGTGCCTCTTTAGTGCAGGCTTGGAGTAACTTTCTCAGTATGCTCTCTGGTATGTCTAGAGGGATGCAAGCCGGATCACAATACACTCTGATCATCATCATCCTGATTGTTTCACCCACAGGCACGTTGGTGAACAGTGACTTCACGTCTAGAGAGGCTCTTATCCCTGTGGCCCGTGCTCCCTGCAGTAAGTCAACGAATTACTTTGGAGACTTCAGGCTAAAAGTACAAGGCACATTAGGAGTTAGCAGACAGCTGAGTCGCTTAGCCAGGCTGTATGTGGATGTGGGTATCTGGCTGATGATTGGCCAAACTGTGTTTCCAGGCTTGCGCGTCCTGACATTCTCATATTTAAAACCAGGTTTGTATTCCCTGATCACCTTTGGCAGGTGGAGTCTGGATTTCTGGCGTTCACAGTTTCAATCAATCTGTTTTCCTTTGTCTTAAATTCGGCTGTAGTATCCTTCGTTAGCCGTTGGAATTTAGTTTGGTTGGAGAAGATATGGTTAATTTTTGCCAGATATTCGTCGTTTTTAAGAATTACGTGTATTAGCGACTTGTCACCTCTCCTGATGACTATCTCTTTATTCTCACGAAGGCTCTTAGCTGCCCCTTTGAGCTCGGGGGACAGTATCGTGCTTCTGTAGTTACCTCGAATCTTTCCTCCTTCATATTGCATTAGATTGCAACTGCGTTACTTATTGCAGAAGAAGGAAATAGATCCAATATTTCTCGGACAATATTTTCAAACACTTGACCGGAATTGAATCAGTTAGGATCGGGTGAATAATTAATAATATTTCTTAAATCTTTTAACTTTGGTCTACCCCGCTCAGCCTATGTTCGTCCTGTACCCCAGACTATTTCCCCTTCAAATTTAGGTAAGGGTAACCCCAAGCATGTGGTCTCCAACTTCAAACAGACAGAGAGATAGACATTCACTTTGATAGTATTGATATGATTTGTGTACAATTGACTCTGTAAGTACAGAAATCCATAATAATGATATTATATTTCACCCAGAGCCATGGAGTTTACGGAGACTGGTCTGCTGGACTTCTGGCTGAGGTCTGCTTTCGGCAACTCCACAACCTGTATATATTCTCCGAAGTCAATGACGATAACATCAAGCCTCTCCTTAAACAACTTATGGGTATTTGGAACTTTATCAATACAACCAATGCAAACTTATTGCTGAAAATACAGAAATACTCTTATAAACGACAGGTTGATTTAGATGTACTGTAACGCCAGTATACGTTCATGAAATCTCGCTCCTTTCTCATCTGATATTCATGTGTTACAGCTCATGTCTGCATGTTGCAGGGAATGTTCGTGATTCTAGGAACGGGACTCATTGGAAGCTTCACCGTGTTCTGTGTTGAGAGACTTTCCGCTTGATATGTCACCTCTCCTGGAGCTCCTCGCCGGAAACTCCAAACAGATGAACCCGATGTTCAGTAAACCGGAAATATAAGCAATATATTCATGCAAATATTTATAAAATATAAGATTGAAATTTTTCAAGTTGTCCAATCTTATTCCTGTACTTTTAGCACATTACTACTATGTCTTTAAATAAATGATTGAATATTCACCAACACTCATGTAGAGCCAGACCTAACCCAGGATGTGCAACCCGTTCTCGCACTTTCTTTAAGTCAACATTGACTTATTAAATAAGTGCATATGTGATATACTAATTTATTGAGAATATTTTAGTTTACCTTGAAAAGCTTCATAGAAAACACCGACCTTACCTAACCTTCTTAGTATGTTAAGATAAGCATCTTATTGCTTCGTAATTACAATTACGGCATAGAGAGAAAGCAGCAGGCGAAGACACCACTGCTCCTCTCGTTGACAGGGCCGGCACCTGCTACTCTGGCGGCGTCTAGTGCTGGGTTTTCCTTGACACGCTTCCCAGTGGGCCCCTCCCCCTTCACTCTACTGTAAACGTAAATGTACGTGTGCGGCAGAGGAGGAAAAAGGCAAGGAAAAATAAGAGAGAGAGAAAAAAAAAAAACATTTTATGTGTCTTCTAACCCAAGTCTATCTTTTCCTGCCCGAAACGCTTTGCGTAATAATGGCTTTAGGCATTGTATGTACTAGCTCTATCTATTAATCCAACAAACTTTGTAAAATCTCTTGTATGTATGTACCTTACCTAAATAAACATTTATTTATTTATTTATTTATTTATTTATTATTACTTAACCTATTATAGGTATAGGTTAAGTAATAATTGTAATTACGAAGCAATAAGATGCTAATCTTAACATAATAGAAAGGTTAGGTAAGGTCGGTGTTTTCCATGAAGCTTTTCAAGGTAAACTAAAATATTGACAATAAATTAGTATGTCACATATGCACGTATTTAATAAGTCAATATTGACTATAACAAAGTGAGAGAACGGGTTGGGATGTGAGTACACTAGTGACTGGTTCCTAACTATGTAACTCCTGGCACAGTAGGCGTCCTGGCACAGTAGGCGTCCTGGCACAGTAGGCGTCCTGGCACAGTTGGCGTCCTGGCACAGTAGGCGTCCTGGCACAGTAGGTGTCCTGACACAGTAGGTGTCCTGGCACAGTAGGCGTCCTGGCACAGTAGGCGTCCTGGCACAGTAGGCGTCCTGGCACAGTAGGTGTCCTGACACAGTAGGTGTCCTGGCACAGTAGGCGTCCTGGTACAGTAGGTGTCCTGGCACAGTAGGTGTCCTGGTACAGTTTATGTCCTGGTACAGTAGGTGTCCTGGTACAGTAGGCGTCCGGGTACAGTAGGCGTCCTGGTACAGTAGGCGTCCTGGTACAGTAGGTGTCCTGGCACAGTAGGTGTCCTGGCACAGTAGGTGTCCTGGCCCAGTAGGTGTCCTGGCACAGTAGGCGTCCTGGCACAGTAGGTGTCCTGGTACAGTAGGTGTCCTGGCACAGTAGGTGTCCTGGTACAGTAGGTGTCCTGGCACAGTAGGCGTCTTGGTACAGTAGGCGTCCTGGCACAGTAGGTGTCCTGGTACAGTAGGTGTCCTGGTACAGTTGGCGTCTTGGTACAGTAGGTGTCCTGGTACAGTAGGTGTCCTGGCACAGTAGGCGTCTTGGTACAGTAGGCGTCCTGGTACAGTAGGCGTCTTGGTACAGTAGGTGTCCTGGTACAGTAGGCGTCTTGGTACAGTAGGCGTCCTGGCACAGTAGGCGTCCTGGCACAGTAGGCGTCCTGGCACAGTAGGCGTCCTGGCACAGTAGGTGTCCTGGCACAGTAGGTGTCCTGGCACAGTAGGTGTCCTGGTACAGTAGGTGTCCTGGCACAGTAGGCGTCCTGGTACAGTAGGTGTCCTGGCACAGTAGGCGTCCTGGCATAGTAGGTGTTCTGGCACAGTAGGTGTCCTGGTACAGTAGGCGTCCTGGCATAGTAGGCGTCCTGGTACAGTAGGCGTTCTGGTACAGTAGGCGTCCTGGCACAGTAGGCGTCCTGGTACAGTAGGCGTCCTGGCACAGTAGGCGTCCTGGTACAGTAGGCGTCCTGACACAGTAGGCGTCCTGGCACAGTAGGCGTCCTGGTACAGTAGGCGTCCTGGCACAGTAGGCGTCCTGGTACAGTAGGCGTCCTGGTACAGTAGGCGTCCTGGTACAGTAGGCGTCCTGGCACAGTAGGCGTCCTGGCATAGTAGGTGTCCTGGTACAGTAGGTGTCCTGGCACAGTAGGCGTCCTGGTACAGTAGGTGTCCTGGCACAGTAGGCGTCCTGGTACAGTAGGTGTCCTGGCACAGTAGGCGTCCTGGCATAGTAGGTGTTCTGGCACAGTAGGCGTCCTGGCACAGTAGGTGTCCTGGCACAGTAGGTGTCCTGGTACAGTAGGTGTCCTGGCACAGTAGGTGTCCCGATACAGTAGGCGCCCTGGTACAGTAGGCGTCCTGGTACAGTAGGTGTCCTGGCACAGTAGGTGTCCTGGCACAGTAGGCGTCCTGGCACAGTAGGCGTCCTGGTACAGTAGGCGTCCTGGCACAGTAGGTGTCCTGGTACGTAGGCGTCCTGGTACAGTAGGCGTCCTGGTACAGTAGGTGTCCTGGCACAGTAGGCGTCCTGGCACAGTAGGCGTCCTGGTACAGTAGGTGTCCTGGCACAGTAGGCGTCCTGGCACAGTAGGTGTCCTGGTACAGTAGACGTCCTGGCACAGTAGGTGTCCTGGCACAGTAGGCGTCCTGGCACAGTAGGCGTCCTGGTACAGTAGGCGTCCTGGTACAGTAGGCGTCCTGGTACAGTAGGTGTCCTGGCACAGTAGGTGTCCTGGTACAGTAGGTGTCCTGGTACAGTAGGCGTCCTGGCACAGTAGGCGTCCTGGCACAGTAGGCGTCATGATACAGTAGGCGTCCTGGTACAGTAGGCGTCCTGGTACAGTAGGCGTCCTGACACAGTAGGTGTCCTGGTACAGTAGGCGTCCTGGTACAGTAGGCGTCCTGACACAGTAGGCGTCCTGACACAGTAGGCGTCCTGACACAGTAGGCGTCCTGACACAGTAGGCGTCCTGGCACAGTAGGCGTCCTGGCACAGTAGGCGTCCTGGTACAGTAGGCGTCCTGGTACAGTAGGCGTCCTGGCTAATGATGTGGACGTTGGGTTTGCTCGGCACAGAGTTTAACAGCGTGTTTATTAAGATAATAAATAAGGTAGGACTGAGGACACCTCCCTGTGGGGTGCCTAGTTCGAGGTCTCTTGTTACACTCCTATATGCCCCTGGGGGAAAATAAGGATGACTTACTGTTGGATGAGTAACTTCGGATCCATCAAAGAAGCCGACCACCAATATTCATAATTGCAAGCTCACTCATGATAACATATCGGTTTGCAATATCGAAGGCAGACTTGAGATTTAAGAAGGTGGTATATGGCTTTTCAATCATAGATGGGGACGGAGCGGCTGCAAGAGCAAATACGTGAGAACAAATCCACCAACGATATTACAGCGCAGCTCACGTGCATGAAGGGACTTGTAAGCAAAGACTGCCAACCCCCCCTTCCACCCCTGAACCTTCCAGATATGTGTTCCCTTGTTAAATAGGTGAAACTTCTAATGATCTGGAGTCCTTGTGTAGAGGTACCCTTCCACGCAAGTTAACTGTCAAAGCTGTGCTAAGCTATAGTGAAATCGACTCCATAGATAAAAAAGACAGACAACGTGAACTAAAGAATTGGAAGGAAATGTGACATTGGTAATATGCTAAAAAAATGTTCATGGACTTATATTGTAGTGAAATATATAATATATACTAACTGGACTAATAACATCTATAGTCGCTTACTTTTTATGCACAAATAACGAAGTTATCCATCATTAGCTGGAACATTGCATCCATCAAAAAAAGGTTTTCTGCTCTACATCACAAAGTAAAAAGCGAACACTTCGATTTTGAATGTCTCCAGGAGTGCAGGGTTCCCGCAAGGTCCTCAACCCCTGAACTGCCCTCATTTGTTTCTTACAACCTCAGATCCAGTAACTCTTGCATTCTATACATCAAACAATCTCTACCCCATCAACTTCTTCCAGTAAAACAAACTTGGGGTCATCAATGTCATGGAGTGAAGATCTATGTGGGCAACTCTGTCCTCAATGTATTTAATCTATATGCTCCAGCAGGAAAATTAAATTATATTGATATTGCAGGCAGCGCTTAAGTAGAGCCAACCATCATTCTTGGTGATTGCAATGCTAAACACAAGGACATTGGTGATTCTCGCTTCAGTAACAGGAATGTGAATCAACTGCTGTCGCTACTAAATAGTCACCAAGATGTGCAGATTGTGGGTGACCTTGAACCCGCGCATATTTGTGGAGGCATTCTAGACCTCTGTGTTGGTTTCAACGTCTCTCACGTCTGGTGCACATCATCTATTGTAACAGATTTGTTGTCAGATCATCACTCTAGATTGACTACTCTATGTATCGGAAATACCATCCTGCCCGGTGGGACTTTTAAACGCAAACGGCTCAGTGTTCCTCCTGCTCGACGTGAAGAATTTGTTGCTCATGTGTCAGAGTGGTACAGCACTTATGATCCCTCCACAGTCCAGATATTTAACATCGATCTAGTACAGAACACTCAGAAGTTCGCTGACCATTTAGGTCGTCCCCCTGCACCATCCAATAGTCGGATCGATATGAAAAGTAATAAACCCCATGTCTATTACAATGACCCCAAACTGCGTACTTTGAAACGCACTGCCTCACCAAGTGTCACGCCCTCACCCTCTACACAGAGCAAACGAGTTAGTCGATCCCGCCTCTAGTTTCAATAACCTTCCCCTAGACACACAATTCAGATTAAATGCTGGTTACTGAGATCAAGGAAGGCTCGTTGACTTCATGCTCCAAAAGGAAGATGAATGCAACGTGCCATTTACTCAGTTTGA